TTGCTGGAGATGATTGCTGGTGATTGAATGCTGGTGAGGCGATCTTCTGGTCTTTTGTCTCCTTTATTCGCCTCCTTTAATAAGACTATTATAAGACTTTCCAATAAATTCTGGTAAAATCTTTAATCAAGTAATGAGATTCTAGAATGTGAAGAACTTCCTTCATCATAGAAAGAAGCCTTTATTTCTTTGAGTTATAAAAAAGAAAAGGTTCAACACGTCTTTACTGAATATACATTATAAATTTTTCATACAACACTTGGAAAGAAAATAAATGTTTTTTAACTGAAATGATGCACCCTGATCAAACTGAACTTGTTCCAAAGAGACATATGAGAGATAATTACAGGTATATTTTGAATATTACAGGTAGTCCTCGACTTATGACCACAATGGGGACTGGAATTTCCATCGCTAAGCAATGCGGTCATAAAGTGAGATGTCACGTGACCACATCGCTTAGCAATGGCAATTCCAGCACTTCCCATTGCCATTGTTAAGCAAATTCCACCGGTCATTACCTGAGGATGCACCCCGATGCAAACCGTTCCGAGGCTTGGTCCCTCCTAGCCCCAAGCCTCAGTAAGGTAAGGGATGCCTCCAACTCCCCCCACCTCCCTACTTCCCCCCATCTCTACCAGTTTGGCTGCCCTGCATCCTGCCTTGCAGGGCAGCAAGCAGCCCCAGAACAGCGCAGCTCTGGGCTACTTGCCACACCCTGGGAAGCCGCAGCCACCCCAGTCCAATCGCCCTTGCCAACCTGCACTCCTAGACCCTTGCTCCCTGCACTCTGCCACTCCAGCTGACCTACGCCATCTTCTTGCTCCTGCTACTGACGAGGCATGCCTGGCCTGGTTGCTGGGCCAGGATGGAGCTGAGCTTCGTGCTGTGCTGCAACTCAGGGGTTCATTTGCTTAATTGGGTTCTCTTTATCTAGTTTTAGGACTTGTGTGGAGAACAGATTACGTTTAGGTCATATTTGTGCAGAAATACTGAAAATTCAAAATTCAGCAAAATTGGCATATACAGGTAGTCCCTGACTTGCCACCATTTGTTCAGTGACCATTCAAAGTTCCAACAGTGCTGAACAAATGGTGGTTATGACCGGCCATTGGAGTTCTGGCTGTCCCAGCACCCCTGCAGTCACGTAATCACAATCTAAGTGCTTGGCAACTGGGTCGCACCTACAACCGGTTGTAGCCCCCTGTGATCATGTGATTGCTGTTTGCAACCTTCCCTGCTGGCATCCCCAGAAAGTCAGTGGGGAAGCTGGCAGGGAAGGCTGCATGTTGCTGGGTTAAGTCTCTCCCACCTGGTACCTCCCCAGCCCTTCTGCACTTGTGCTGCACTGGCCACTCGCGCACCTCTACATGTGCCCTCCCTGAGCCTCGCTGTGCCTCTCCCGCTACTGGTGTACCCCCATGCACCCTCTCCAAGCCTTGCCACACCTTCCTTGCACTCTCCTGCACCCCCGTGCATCCTCCCTGACCATTGCCACACTTCCCTCACACCTTCACACACCCTCACCAAGCCTTGCCATACCTCCCTCATATCTTCGTACAACCTCCCCAAGCCTTGCCGCACTTCCATTGCACCTTCCTGCACCCCCCATGCACCCTCCCTGACCCTCGGTGTGCCTCCCTGTGATGGAATGTGAGGGTGACCTTGGAAGATGCGGGGAAGAGATGCCGCCTAGGGAATGATCAGATAAAAGAGAAAGGAGACCGCAAGAGAGTAACAGCCAGAGAAAGAAACTTAGGAAGGAGCGGCCATAACTATTCAGGCTGTAAATAGGGAGGGTGGGAAACTTGTACTTTCAGACTTGCAAGATTCTGTTAAGGTAGCCTTATAATAAAGTAGAATTAGCTCATCTAGTCACGTTTCTGTCTAGTTTACCTGGAGGGCTGACAGAC